CTGGTGTTCTGGGGCCCTTACATCCTTATTTCTTGGTGTCTAATTATCTGATCTCTTCCTTTAGGGCCAGTAGACCTAGGAGGTAGGAGAGCCTTCTTAGGTCTCAGACAGGAGAAAGCCTTTGTGGTGCCAACAGTTCTTAAGCAATCAATCATCAGATACAGTAAGAATTATCCAAATCCATGCACTTTAGAAAAAAATTGGATCCAAGCCTACACAAATGAGTCATATAGAGCACTGCTGCTCAAACATGATTGTGTACACAAATTACCTGGGAACTGAGTTAAAATTTTGATTCTGATTCAGTAGGTTTAGGGTGGTTATTATGTATATGCACAACTCATAAATTTTCCAGTGATGCCTGTCTGTAGTCCACACATAGGACATATGTTTTAAGTAGCCAGGACTTGGTGGATGTTTGACCAAGGTAGACAAGACAGAGATCAATAGGACACAGAGTGGGTTCTTTGGAAGGGTAGAAAGACGAATGAGACAGGAAGCCAAGCATTTGCACTGTTAATAAAAAAAAAATCTCTTCATTTTATGCTTCACTTCCCAGGAAGATCAATGCACATTTTTCCCTTTTCTCTCTTGGTCTGCTTTCGGCCTTTCTTCCTGAGCTCACAAAATTTGATACTTTTTTGCTCATTATGCACTAACATTTCCAATTTTGAGGAATCTCTAATCCCTTAATGCTCTGTTAAATACTTTATGTCATCATGTGGCTAATAAATGAAAGTTGGATATACAAAGTGAACTGTGTTATATTCTGTGCAAGAAATTTAAGCACAAGACTGATCACAAATACTGAGAAAGGGAACTGAGAAATAATCAGAGGACACATTCATACTTAAGAAAGCCTACTTCAAATTTCCCATGAAAAAGATTTTCAGTGTTATATACTGAATGTTTATACTGCCTATTGAGTTTTAAACTGAATATTTCTTTGACAGTATAAAATATTTGTGCACCATCTTTACTCTTTCCCACCCTCCCAGATTGTCTAATACACACAATAGTCTTTCCTGGGGACCAGCCCAAATGGTCTCTTAAAGTTCCTACGACCAGAATGATTGCACTTCAAAGCGTGCATTGTTGTTTCATCTCTTTATGCTGCTTTTTATCAATTTCCAAGATAGTTAAAGCTGAAAGATGAAAATACTTCAAACAAAAAGCAATTATTTAAAAAAAATTACCAAATAATTGAAGCCGATCAGTGTTCACACTGTTGGAACTTTTATCCTTTCCTACCAGACCTTGAAGTCTGTCAGATTTTGCTGAGACATTCATATTAGTGAACATCTGGATCGTGTCATAGTTGGGTCTGATTTTTGCCTAACAGTTTCTTTGTGGATTTGCCTCCCACAACACATATGGTTTATTTCTTGTGTTTATCCTTAGCTTGGCAGGGTTTTGAGGTGTCATGTCTCTTTTCATCTTTACTTTTTAAGGGGAATGATTTTGCATAAATTATTGTCTTTCTAGGTGTGAATTATGATAGTGCTCTTTTTCATGTGTTCTGTAGAGACTATGAATAAATGCCTGTTCTTACATTTTCTTCTTGTGAATTATATCTCATTACAAGATATGTAGTTTCTTTTATATGTATATTTTTTCACATTTTTTTCTACTTTTGAAAGCTCTTCATCAGCATTTGTAATTGCTTAGACTATGCCCCACGCTTTTTCACAAAAGTGCACTTAACACAATATGGTTTTTATTGAGCCTATATACAAAAATAATTATTTTGATTTTTGTGAGATAGTTTAAAAATAATGTTGAAAAATGCCTTCATTTTATGCTTGAAAATGCTAACTTCAAAAATTACATATTAAAAATACACCAATTGGGGCTGGGGATGTGGCTCAAGTGGTATGACGCTCGCCTGGCATGCGCGGGGTGCTGCGTTCGATCCTCAGCACCACATAAAAATAAAATAAAGATGTTGTGTCCACTGAAAACTAAAAAATAAATATTAAAAAATTCTCTCTCTCTCTTTCTCTCTCTCTCTCTCTCTCTCTAAAAAAAAAAAAAATACACCAATTGAGTAATTTACTTTTTACAGTACATCCCTGAGAGTTATGATGGCAGACATAGTCCCAAAATGAGAATTAAAAAATAGTATAGTTGGTATCTTGATTTAATGGAATTTTGATAGGAAGGCTGCAAAGTCAAATATATATTTTAATTGTAATTCTTGTAGAATTTCTTTTTAAAAGTTTAAAAGGCAAAAAGTAAACAAATGAGCAACTGAATTGCAGGGGTAAGGGAAATTATTGCTATTGTTATGATTATTAATTTAGAATGGGAAGAGCAATTACAGGTATAAGAGGCTGAGCAAGCTACCTGTCTAGGGAGTGTGGCAGTAGATGTAATCAAGAGCATTTTCTTTGGAAACAAGGAGGAGCATCTTTTTATCAGGAGTGAATATAGATTAGCATTATTGAGAAGCAACTTTATGGATTAGTTCTTTGTCATTTCTTTTTTACATGTGAAGAACTGAAAATCCACTTTTATAAGTGGGAGAACTTAGGCCAATGAGTATTAAAAATATAAATACCCGAAGACATTACCAGCTAAAGGGGTAGAGCTGCCATCACCACTTACTTGCTGGCCCCTAAAACCCCCTCTCTCAAGTGCTCTGATTTGAACTTGGTATTTCCTCAGTGTGGGTGAGGGAGGCACTCCACTTGTTTCAGTCAGCTTTTTCACTGTGGTGACTAAAAGACTCAAGTACAACAATTGTAGAGGGGGAAAAGTTTATTTGGGGTCTGATGGTTTCAGAGGTCTCAGTCCATACATAGATGGCTCCATTCCTTGGCTCAAGGTGAGGCAGATCATGGCAGAAGAGTGTGGCCTAGTGAAAAGGCTGACATGAGATTAGGAAGCAGAATTATACTTCACTCACCAGATACCAAATATATATACCTCAAAGGCACATCCCCATGAACCATCACCTCCAGTCACACCTTACCCACCTTCAGTTACCACTCAGTTAATACCATCAGGGAATTCATTCACTGATTGGGTTAATGCTCTCATAACTCAATCATTACCATTCTGTCTGATAACAGGTAGAAATAGAACAACTGACCATAGAATCAAGATGTTAATAGGTCATTAGTGTGGCAGTTGAATTTTATGTGATAGTTTGCTTCCTGGAGATGGCAAGATCTTCAAGAAACACAAATTTCTTTCCTTTTTTCCTTTTAAAGTTATGATTTTTAGCTCAGAGTTTCCAAAATTACTGTATGGGGTGACAAGGAAGCTTTTTCTCACTGAAGAGAAATATTCTGTTTTAACAATGTGGAAATATCTTTTAGGGCATTACTATGTTGAAGCGATTTTTAAAAATGTATTTATTAGTTCTAATCAGATCAGTAGAAAGCTCTTCCATTTATTGTACACAAATGAAGAATTTTTCACTTCTCTGGCTGTGCATGAAGTAAAGTCACACCATCCGCTTTGCCCTATCCAAAGTTGTTAAAGCAATTTTTAAGAGATACTGGGCCAGGCACTGTGGCGCATGTCTGTAATCCCCATGGCTTGGGAAGCTGAGGCAGAAGGATTGCAAATTCAAAGCCGTTACATGTATTGGGATTGAATGAACATACAAAGGTTCTAATTACTGGTTCTGAAGAATGAGAACATACATAGGATTTCCTTCTGAATGTATGTTTATAGATATTGATATTTGTAATATGCTAGGAAGCAGCATCAATGACAAGCATTTTTATAGTTGCTACAGCCACATGCTTACTATTGAATGCTAACAATTTTTAAAGTTTGTTTATGAAATTTTGTCTTTTATATGTTAAGCTTTTATGAAAGGTTATATTTCTCACAAGAGTAGTATTTCAAATTATTTTTAAATAGATATATTTTTAACAAAATTATTTACAAAAATAGACACCAAATATGCATTTAGATTACAGCCTTTTTTAAAAAAAGGTTCTATTTTAAAAGGTTCTATTCTTTTGTATATTTTGTATAAATTCAAACATTCTTTTTTGTTACACTTAGACAGTTTAAGAAAGATACAGAAAGAAACCATTATTTTTCTTTGATTTTTTTAGAGCAAATAAATTACAGACACCAATTAAAACATTTTATAATGGGCCATGACCCACTTTTCATTGGTTCTTTCATTTTCTATATTGTTGCAAAGTGCCCACATCAATAAATTATTTCCTTGAATGTGCTTTGTGTTTGGGTGAACTAAACTAAAATATTTTTATTGTAGTGGTAGTTTATTAAAACTCTGTGATACAATATGGTGATGGAATATTCTGTTCCAATTGGATCAAGTGAGATCAAATAACAAATTGTAATTTCAGTTTTTAAAACTTGCTAAATGTAGCCAGACATAATTGGGCAAGCCTATAATCTCAGTGACTTGAGAGGCTGAAGCAGGAGGATTACAAGTTCAAAGCCCACCTCAGCTGAATTTGTAAGAATTCAATATACTCATTGACAGAATATTTCTCCATAAAAATACAGGATGTTTTTCTGATGCTATATATTAGTCATTATATAATAATTTAGCCCACTTTCCAAACCAAATAAGTTATAAGTAGTTTCAACTGACATGTAACTGGGTCAACAATAATGCAAAGAAGAAAATGAGCAATGTTTCTAAACTGGAATAGGGTAGCAATGCCAGTGTGATTTATAGATGCACCCTGATCAGTCAGTGGAATTTATTGAAAGGCACAGATACTTAGACTTCAACTCATTGGTATATATTTAGCAGCAATTCAAAACACTGCATGAATAAAATAAAAGTATTTGAGACCTAGTAAAACTGTTATTCTTATTTGAAACTCAAGGAAGCAAACCCCCAGAAAATTGAAGTGCATTTAAAAAAAAAATGCTACCTAAAGTGGAAAAAAAAGTGTTTGATTTTTAGACACAAACTTTGCCTAAAGAGCTTAAACCTTTCTGGATTTAGCTATCAACAAAATAAACAAAGCATTAAGAACTGGGCTACACAAATGGTATGGATTTACAAAATGTATTTACTTGAGGTCTAATGCTCCAGTGAGATATACAGAGAAAAGATGGAAGTTGAGACTTCAAAATTACCCCAGTTGTGATGACTTGAACACATTTATGAGAACTTTTGCTTAGGTACTATATAAATAAACATTGTATCTACAAGTATATTGTTTAGATTAAGAGAAATAAAATACATGCCTTTGTTATATGAGAAAATACTTGACAGTTTAATGTAATGGTGACAGATTCAAGACAAAGCTAGGCCTCATCTCTTTTGTTTTCATTAAAAAAAAAAATAGGAAACTTTGCCAGTCAACTGTGTGTGCTAATCTCACCTGTAGCATTGTTTAGCCACAAGTTACTCCATCTACAGTATTCTTTGAATAAATACAGGCTTCATATTTTAATACTATTTTGTGGAATTCTCATTGCTAATTGATAAGGAGATGTTGGAACCCCAGGAAGTGTACTCTAACACTAGGTGAGTGAGGTAGGTGAAATGTAACATAAGTTTCTGTTTGAATTGTGTTTAAGCACAGAGAGGTCAACAGATAAGACAGCATCTCCAAGCCGTTCATTTGTGTTATTCCAAACTCGAGCTAAGTGTGGTGGGTTGAACTAGAGAAAAAACTGTGGCACAAAGACTAGATGGAAGATGGCTATAGGAACACTGCCCAGTATTTTGGCTACAGCTGAGTAAACATAAGTGAGGTCAATATTAATAGGAACAATAAGGAGAGTGTGGGTGGGGTAGGAGGTACAATGTATGACATATAACATCACCTGCCTGGGATGAGTATATGGACTATAAGTAAGAAGTGATAAACCACAATCCATGAAAAAAATAAATGAGTACATCATTTTGACTCAAAGTAGTGGGCTGTTTACTTTTCTTTTTGAACCATGTGCTCTATTTATTTAGAGTACTAATTCCCAGATTTTTTTTTAAAGCACTTTTTACACCTCTCTTTCATACTCCTATTTTCTCTACCCAGACTGCCCTTCTCTCTTTCTCCATCTAGGCAAATCTGACTTATGTCTCAATTCACAGTTTAGATATCACCTTTTGTCTGAAGTGCTCCGTGATCTCCCTTCTCACACTAATGCCTCCCTCCTCTTTGAACTCATAGCATGCTTATCATGAACTTCAAGTGGGAACCCTACCACCTTATATGTAACCTAGTTCTTTCCACCAGTGATGCACTGAGCTCCTTTCTGTATTTGCCATCATGCTAGGCTCTAGGGAAGAACTGAACTGGATACAAACCCTGTTCCCTATTCTCAGGGATCTCACAGTCTGAAAAGGGATTCAAGAATGTGAAAAAAAAAAAAATCACACTCATGTGACAAGTGAGTTAATAAAAGAAACATACCAGGCACAAATTTAGCACAGAGAAGGTGGTTAATGTGTTCTAGGGACAGGAAGATCAGAATAAGCTTGCCAGATACAATGGTGGTAATTCATCTCACAGTGAGCTCTTGGAGGATAGGGTTCCTATTTCATGCAGTACCCACATTACTTAATAGGCCACCAGCACAGAATTGGTAGTCAAGCTCTCAGTGACACTTGAGCAGGTAGAAATCTGGTTCCAAAGGACAAAGTGTCTAGAAGTCCATTTTCTTCATATTCAAATTCATCTATTTGTTGCTGTTATTGTACTATTTGATTTGATTTGGTTCCTTTCCCTCTGACTGTGATTTGCCTGTATGTTTGAAATGGTGTTTTCTTTGGTTAGGTTGATTATGAAAATGGTCTTACTACATGAATCCCATTTTTGCATCTTTCTTCTCTATTTCATTTTGGGGTCCTCATAACCTACTAACTTAAAAATATATATTTCTATAATTAACTAGTATAAAGAAATTGTTAGAAATCAAACAAACTAATAGGATTTTGCAATTGCTTTGAAATATAATGCTTTCCTCTTTATGGAAATTTGTATTTTCTAAACATTGACATTGATTTTAAATAATTATTAAGATAAATTAAAATGAAAACACAGTGTCTTTGGCATTGGGCCAGTTTATATCTAACATGTTATTATACAAAAAGGTGATGTTGAATCCTACTTATTAGTGAGTGTGTCTTTGAAGTCATGAAACTGGATAGATGTGGACTAAATGGAAATTGTGCTTAAAAATGAATTTGTAAGCCAAAGATATCCAAATGTTATACTGATTCCTTCCATATTAATAAAATGCTTGCCTATGAATTTCAGAATAGGCAATATCAATAACAATCACCTGCCATCTTTATAGATCTGGAATGAAACCAAACTGATGATGGTAATGACACATTGTAGAATTTCATCCCCATATTTTTTTAAGTATGACATCAAAAAGAAAAATATTTAATTTAAAGGTCATAAAAGTTCACATCATCATCATAAATATAGAATCTAGTTTACATATGACTACAATGAAGAAATCTGTTAGCTAATTATGTAGCAACCTGACTCTGTTTTTCAGAATTTCCTAAGCTTATGTTCCTTAACACCATATGTTACAGGGAACAGTAAAGACATCTGAATTCAAATATTTTGAAGAAATGTGTATTTAGCAACTGAATACATGCTAAAAGGAATAATTTACAGCAGCAGTTTCATTACATTTTTTTCTCTCCAGTTTTCTAGTTCCCATCTGAAATGCAATGATAAATACAGATATGGAACATATTTACTACCTGGCAAAAAGCATGCTTGTTGAATGGGCACAAACCTTCTGCCCTTAAATATAAGTACATAAACCACCTTGTCACCTGTGTGGGAAAATCTTGCATTTTAAGGTGATGTTCAACACATTGAAATGGAGTACCTATAGAAAGTTGTATTTTACACTGTTCTTCCTCTTTGAAATTATTTACATCTCTTCTGCCTAATGTGTAGGTAGCAAAAATATTAAACACATACCATTAAAGTCACTAAATAATACATAAAAAGAAGCAATAAGTGTGCATCTACATGCATTTACATTTTACATTTTATTTCAATGGGGCCTTAATTTCTCTGCTGTGATGCATCTTTTTTTATACTGTAAGGTTGCTGTTATAATTTCCCTAAGGTCACATGAGTCTCTTAACCAAGTTTCATCTCTGATGATACATGCATATGCCAAAGTCTATTAAAGCTGAATTATTAAATGGGACATTAATTCTACTTCGTGCAAACTGCCCCTTCTCAATACATATCAGCAGAAAATGATGACTGTAATGAGTTAATTATCTGCAAGTTATACATATAATTTTTTTTTCAAAAATTTAGATCTGATGGTTTATAAAGTCATGCCAGTAGATTTTTTTCTTTTGATGCTTTTAATTGAAATCTAGACTTTTTTCTATTGATATTTCATAATGCTAACCAGAATGCATTCAGGTTTTGGAAGGCATCCATAAGTTACCATACAATATCCATCCCTTCAAATCCTCTATTTTTAAACACTAAGAAGAAATAAGATACTTTTGTTATTGTGAATAAATTTGTTTCAGCTGCAAATTTAGAACAAAATGATACAACTGAATTTTAGTACCTTTAAGTTACTCTACCAAAATATGACCTATTTTGGAGCACTCTTTGTTCCTTGACTTATATTTCAAACACTTTTTTCCTGTACAGGAGTGTATTCTTCAAATGGTTTAACAATCCATTTGAGGATGCACATCCAAAAGCAACACCATATTAGTCAATGGAGCCTAAAATTGGATGTAGAATACTTTTAGGCTTTTATTTGAACAAGTGTCAACAAATTATTTATTCAAATAATCATTAAAACTGAAACATGAGCTTCCATCTGGGAAATATTTCAGCTGATGGGGAGTAACAATGCACTGCAGTCTGAGGTGAGAAATTAGTGCTGTTAATTAGAATCCCAAGACAACTGGAGTTAAAACTTCAATGTCACTTCATTAATTAGTAGTAAGATATTTTCTTCCTTTACATTTTTGTGTGTGACAAGGACCTAGGGGAGTGAGGTGCTAAAAGAACAGTGTTATAATGCTGAAAGTCTTAGGCATATTGAAGTCCATGATTCTCAAGGAATCATCTTGGGACAACAAAGTAGGCAAATCCTTAATTAAAAATCGTTTGCCTTATTTTGTGAGGAAACAAAGAGTTTCACATTTTCTTAAGTGTGGGTGTATTCTGGAAAATAGTTTAAGTCATTCCCATTGACCTGAGAAGAATGATGTATTCTTCATACAGATAATTGTATTTTAAAAAAGTGAGATAAGAGACAGCTGATTTAGACCAAAACAGTTGGGAATTTGTCTTTAGAAAGTTATTCTGGATACTATTGGTCTCTCTTTTCATGAATCATTAAGTGGCTTATACAATTCTTAGTGGAATCATGAGAGAAATTTTATGTCTAAAATATCATGCTGAGATTCAAGCACATAATTAAGAGCATTTTCTATTAACACTATATTAAGAAAAAGCTTATTTTCATGAGCTGTACAGTTCATTTTTCTCCTCGTTGATCCTTTAGATATAATAAAATGCATTTAACAAATCAAGTTGTTTTTTTTCCCTTTGTTTTGGCTGGTTAAATGCTCTGTTTTTTGTAGAACATTATGCAAGTTAGAATTAATTTAAATAATACTTTAAAAGAGGAGGTGTCAATAGCTTCCATTTGTTTGATTTCCTCTGAGAAATAAGGCATAATTTACATCCTGTTTTGGACATTAACAGTTAATGATATATATGTTTCTAGAGTAACATCAGCTATCCCTCCTAGAACTGAAAACAAAATGTTAAAAAAAAAAAAACAAGCAGCACACAAATGGAATTTTTAAAACAAACTATATAGCATAATAATTGTAAGACAAAAACCTACTCTAGCTTAGAAAACAGCTAATTTTTACTGCATATTTGTCATGGTACATTTAAATTATAGTTTTAATAAAATACATCTTTAGATCAAAGCTGAAAGAAGACATCAGTAGTAGATCAGTGTATTCCATTTTGCTTCTGGATGATGGATGGCTTATGTTTTTTATATTTCCACAGAACATTTCATTCAGTATCATTTTACTTATTTCACTCCTCCAGTACATACAAACACGAGTGCTGGTAGACAAAAAGTATCCTTGAATCCAACCACATTTTGGAATATTCATCAGCTTAGTAAATCCATGCAGTTTATTTTAAACTTTCAGTTCAATCAAATGGCTTTGCTGATGCAGTTTTTCTCCTTTAGATGGCAATATGGCAAATGACGTTTTTATTTCTCAGGCAAGGAAGAAAGCGAAACCTGTACAATGAAATCTCATAGGAAACATAAAGTCTGCTAAAGTGAACATCTGTGCTCACCTGTGATCTCTGTTAGGTGTTGGTATTAGGAAGAAAGCCTGTTAGGAAAGTTATTCATGGACTTAATTTATAATTGGTGGAACTCAGTTGAATTTCCCACCATTGTAAACATCCACATAATGCCATGAAAAAAGTTCATGTATATTGCATTTTTTTTCCAGTTATTGTCTAGGCAAGGTTCTACTTGAGGTTTTTAGAGGTAATGCAGCTCAGACACTCCTGGGTGCCCTCTCAAATTCGTGGGTCCTCCTATTTCTACCTTTCTTATTTTCTTGTAAGTGCTTCCATTTATTACTATTCCCTTGAGTATGTCCTGGCCTTTGCCGACGTTGTTTTCGGTCCCTTTTCCAAACTTGTTCACAGAATTCATCCATTGTGTTCAGGTTGGGGTGGTTGATGAGCTGCATAAAGTCTCTGTACCACACCTTCTGGCTAGGTGTCATGCTGTTGGACATTTCTTTGGTCTTGGAGCCATCTCCATCATCATCCTTATGAAGAAGTTCTTCTAGATGCTCTGTGTCAATGACTTCTAGGGTCACTTTAAGGAGAGTTTGCATGAATCCATGCTCCACAGCATGACACAGGTAATTTCCAGAATCCTTCCTCTGTAGACTACGGAGCAGAAGTCCTTGTTCTGTCCTGATGATATGATCATCCACCCTGATCTGGGGGAGGGGAGCATAATAGAATAATTATATATGTATACTAAATATAAGATCTAAAAAAGCGCCAGTAAAAATTTGCATTGTTTGTTGAGATACCTTTTAGCATTTAACAAAATTGCAAACTTAATAAAAATGATAGGCTTCTCGCATCAGAAAAATGAGTTATATCCACCAATTGTTTTTAAGATACTTGTGCCACTGTTGCAATAGAATTTCTTATCATAATAATTTAATATGTTGAAAAAAACTTGAGGAAAGAATAAAGATGTATCTTATTTTATAAAGTTGAAAGTAAGTATATACATATAACACATACTTTAGATTGAATACTGAAATTGGAACAATACAATCATGATACTAGGACACAAAAGAGTATTAAGTGATTTGAAAAAAAAATGAAATAAAAAAATCAGCAGTTGAATAGGCAGAAGAAATAAATTTGAGATTTCAAGTTTAGCAATTATTTATTCAATTTATGAGATCTTGGTTGTGAAATAAGTTGGAGGATATGCTGTTGAATATAATATAACCTCACTTTTATTTTGAACACAATTTACAATAGAGATCTCAAAAAGCCTAACCTGGCAATGTATAAGCTCAACTGACATTGGCACAATGTAATTCTATAGTTTAAAATCTGTTTAAAGTGTCAATAAGAAAACAGGAGTATTTTTACCTTTATATATTCATATTTTGTTTGTAAATTTAAAAGCACATTATAAGGTTTAAAAATCAACTAAATACTCTGGTTTCCCCTTTTAAATGCTTTTCAAGCATTTTAAAGGTCCATAAAACTCAATGAAATTTTTGGTAGACATTTTAGTTTCACAAAGGAAAAAATTGATCTATTGAGGAAGATCTGCTTGAGGCTACCTCAACAATTTGTCAAGAGACCTCATATCTTTTGTCTCCTATGTCATAAATCTATTGCCTGCTTCTCCCAACTTTCCCTATTTGAAGAGAAAGTTGTGGAAAAAGGAAAAATAAAATAATAAATGTATTTTCAAATCCAGGAAGGTTCACAGTGCAGACAAATGAAAATTAATTGAAGAAAAGTTAAAAATTAGTATGAAGACTTGATTTTTTTGATGAACAAATATAAATAACATAATAGCTTTCTAGATAACCACAATAAGAAATATGGAGACTTGAAAATATATCTCCATACTGGTTCTGGGGCAGCAACTCTTACCAGGTCACATTTGTTTCACCAGCCTCTAGATTTACAAAGCCTGTTTTTTAATCAGCCTATATAATAATGAATGAACTATTGGTCAATTAAGAAAAGGATAAGTTGTGCAGAGGTGTACTTTTTTTTTGCCAAGTAAAATCTGGGGTCACTTAACAGTACATGTGATGTATAAATAATTCAGTCAATTGTGCCCCTGTACCTCTTCTTTTCGCTCTTCATTTCGTCTTTGGAATTGCCAATAAACCAGTGCTCGCTGTGACTTTGGACTGCATTCCAAAAATGTGCTACTATTTTCTACTCCATAAATGATTCTCTCTTCAAGACTGTGGACATGATGATTATCTGGCCAGTGACAAGAAAATGAAAAGAGACAATGTTAGAAAAGTAATCTCAACTTTTCAAGACATTTACCTGGAAATTCAGTAGATAAATTGTTGTCATGTTGGAACCTGTTTTCAGATTGATTCAAGATGGCAGAAATATCAAGGCTGTAAGGGTTTCGGAATCCAAATGCCTACCTATATAGACTAATCATACTGTTATAGGTTGTACAAAGCATACATAGAGATTTGTCTACCTGCAAATAACATATTAGCAAAATCAGTGATATGTGGAGTATAACTAAATATCTTTATATTACATGATAATACTCTATAAGAAACTATTTTTACTATAAAACTCTTCTCTCTGACTAAATGGAGTCAGTTTGTATTATACTATCATCTAGCAGAAAAATTACTGAACTGGGCTTTTGGAAAGAAAAATATGTTTTTCAGAAATTATTTTTGTCTCTTTATGTTTGCTTTTCATCTATAAAATTAAATTCACCAACCAATAATATTTATCTAGTATTTTACAGAAGGTAGAGATTGGGAAGTTTATACTCCCCACCAAAAACCCTTAAATAATCCTCAAGTTTTTCCTGCAGATCAATTGGTGTGAAATGTTTGGGATGGCTCAGAAGGAAGATGCATAATTACAATGCAATGTGGTTTCAATCGTCCTTATTTTAAAATGACACATCTTTTATTATTTTCAAGAATTAGGCTGTGGAATATGGCAAGAGTATGTAATAAAATGCAGCAATATGGAAACCTGTTTCCTGATTAAGTTTCTATTATTTTACCCTTTATGTAACCTCTTTCAATGGGGTAACTGAAACATAGCTCAGATCAAAAGTACGACACCGAGAATCTAGGTAAAACTCATTTGGAGAACAAAACTCCATATTATCTTATATAATCCTGTTTCCATTATGACATCCTGTACAATCTGGAACTCATTAAATTAATTTAGAAAATAATAAATGTATTTTCACATCCAGGAAGGTTGACAGAGTAGACAGATGAAAAACTTTTGCTCTCTACTTCAAACTTAGCTAGGTTTTTAATTTAAAAATTATTCTCTCCCCCCCCCCCTTTTTGGGGCATCAATTTGACAGTTTTACTCATGTCATAACCAGCTGAGTACTTTTGTCTGTCATAACTGATACAGCTTGCTTTCACTAGATTTCAGGATTTCCCAAACCCTTCTTCTATCCAATCCCTGGGCATGGCCTATGTTCCTTGTCTCCTATCTCACCCTGATGCAGTTGACCTGGGCCTCCACTTGCTATCCCCAGGGATATCAGCCCTCAGTTCCTGTTTCTCAACTGCCCTGAGTGTGAAACAAAACTCTTCCCATATTGGGAAGTATCTGTCCCTTCTTATTGAAAAGATCCACCCCCTGGAAACAAGGCAGAATAAGAAATGACACAAACATAAAGAAACAACAATATTTAACTCATTCCAAGTCACGCTTTTTTCCCTCTGCATTGTATCTCCTTGTGTGTAATTTCTACAATGAATATGGCATGCTTTTTTCCCTCTGAAATTATTAGTGCATCTCAAATTTACGAAATATGGTACATGTTACTGTGCTAGTTTACAAGACATCTGTTCCCTGGATACAGGTGAATTGAATTTCTATGTCCAACAGGATCTGGAAAATCTGTAGTTCAGGAACTATCACCAATAATGAGAATGCCTTGTCACCGAGGCCAATACTATTTATATACAGAATAGATTTTTTTCCTACTATTTTTTTTGCAGTGTAAATATGTTTGATCTAGAAATCTTTTTACTCTTAGGAAGAACTTTCCATTTAATCTGTGAATGAATCATAATGTATTTGGCTTGATAATATGTAGGTAAAAAAAACATGTGAAAAGCCATTGTCTTCTCTATTAACAGGATGATGCTCAGAGTAACTTATTTATTTCTTGCCTGTTCTGTTTAAATTACCGTCAAAATCTATCAAAGGCTAAGGTATGGGTAAGTTGTTGCTCTCAAACATAGAATTCTATTTAAATCCCTAAATACATTAGTTGACACAGAGAAGATCAATGTGACTTCTATAATGGGGCAATTAATTTATTTTTTGTTTGTTTTTGCAGTGCTGGGAATGGAATCCAGGCCCTCAAACATACTGAGCAAGTGCTCTACCATAGTGCTATACCTTCAGCCCTAAGACTTACATATTATGAGAGAAAGTGCTTCACTATAAATAGATGCAATATCTTCAAAATTACTGAGCTGTCTTCTTTTCTGTTAATCTATTCATTTCAGTTAATCTATTCATATAGTTTAACTTTTCTGATAGCTCTAGGAATACTGTTTGGTTTTTATTTTCTTTTTAATGCATTTTCCAATGGCAGGGAACTGCTCTCAATGTACTAGAAAAAGAAAGAAAGAAAGAGAGAAAGAAAGAAAGAAAGGAAGGAAGGAAGAAAGAAAGAAATAAATCATCTTAATAGTAAATGCCTTCTTACATTTAACGTAATTCATCTTATCTGCTACTTTTCTATAGTTTAATCTGATAGATGATGATTTGTGGTTAAACAAAGGATTTAGAGCAAGTTGTTTTTAGTTTAATGTGGTAATATTTTATGGCCTTTGCAAAATCATGACTTTTAGGTTTTCTCACCTTGATAAGATAACTACAACTGGGTAATTTGGTTCATTGGCTTGGTGCCTCCAGTTAGTCTGCTTTGATAACTACTCTTACCAATAACTTAGAATCTCATTCTTCCTTATCTCAACCCTTTCTTTCTCTCTTTTCTGCAAGCAACAATAAAAGAGAATTATCTTCTAGCTAGTAACCAGTGAAGTTTAAGATTCTGTCATAATAACTTTGAATCACAGTCTGTTCACAGACTTTGTTAAGTTCTGCTGCCATCAGCCATAATTATAAAAAAGTAAATTTCCATTGCATACTGTTGTTCTTTTAATTTTCTATAATAGAATGTTTTGATCATCAGCAACATCTAATTTAAGACCAGAACTTTCATTTAATGTGGTCTCAGCCCAGGACCCATATATTTGGGTGCACAGATATAACCATTAGTAAATCGTAATCTATTAATTTCCCCTCATTTGATAAGTTATAAACAGAAACATAAAAAAAGGTTTAAAAATAATTATAAGGCACTCAAAAAATATCCATTCTGTTCTCTAAGTGTTCTACCCTAACCATTTGCACAAGTTTTGTACAGGTAGGAAAGATTAAAGACCCAATGACAATGTGTTCTTCTCTCTCATTTTTTCTGTCTATTCCCTCCCTCCTTCACCCTCTCCCTCCCTCCCTGCCTCTCCAGAAAGATTTATAAGCAAAGGAAATACTGATATTCTTGTTTTCCTTCCTTATTATATTCTTTACTTTTTCTTGGGACATTGTACTATCAGTTTATTTAAGGCAAACAGATCTATATATGAATGACTGCACAGTGTAGCTGTACTTTTCAGATAATGTATAGGCTTTATAGTTAACCAATGCAAATCAAAAGCTCAATAGTGTTGATTAAAGATTTCCTGAGGATATGAAATCTTACATATTCAGGTTAAGTGTAAGTTAATCTCTCTCTGGATTAAATCAGTTGACCTGAGAGCAGTTGACATGGAACCTACTGTGTTAATGGACATGGACTTTATTGAGTTGTTTGGTGGTATTCCCTGGATTGTGTCAAGGGAGCCCACAGCCAACACATTGAGGTTACTCACTGTATTTCTGTCACATTATTGTTGAGTACGGTGTTTTCTGCATTGTGATGCTTTGGGAGATTTTTCTCTGGCCTAGTTTTTAGGAATGATTAAGATTCTCTTGATCAACGGACTTTTTAAAGATGAATTTTGTGATCATATTCCCACTCTACATTGGCTGAAAATAAAACATTAGCCAAGTTGATGTCATACCCTTCTAACTATTGGTAAATATGTTCTTGCTGCATGACTGGTTTTGTTCTCTGTCAGTGTACCTGCTTTGCCTTTGAAACACTGTTGTTATTGCTATCTTTGATTTTTTTGAATCAAACAATTGTAAACCATTTTTAAATATATTAGATTATTTTTCAAGTGTAGAAAATGCAGTGTTTTATAATGTTTTAAATACCTTTTTGTTATGATTAAAATATGTCTACATAAAATATTAGAACAACGTCTGGGCATAGTACAGTGGCATGTACATTAAGTGACATTATTGTTACTTCTCTTGTGCTAGCTTAAACTGCCAATTCAAAACTTAATCTTTTTCTGAGAATCTCCATTAAGCTAAATAACGAAATATTTTCCCACATCAATCCTATTCCCAAACAAGTATCAAAGAAAATATTTTCTTTTCAATAGTTCCCCAAAATTTCTTTTCACATATCTCTTTAGAGCACATGTAGTCTTACTTGTTATAATTATTACAGAATGGTTATCTTTCCCAATACTGTGTGCTCCATACCTGGCAGAAAGGCAATCTAGAATGCTTAGAGGATGTTTGCTGAACAGTAAATCCAGGCAACTACACTGAATTTAAAAGCTGAAATCTCAGGTAACTTTGACATCCTTAAGACAAAGAGTTATGATTTTGTGAAAGAAATGAATAAAAATTTCATCAATCAAAAAAGGCATAGGGATTATAACTCTGATTATGATAGAATACTTCATTAAACTGCTGGTGGATGTATGCCTAGCAACATTTTTTAAGTTTAATAAGTTATGAAAGTTGATTTGAGATATGCTAAGAGCAGTGATGACTAATCAAGTACATCCCAATATCAACAGTTCCAAATATGGGATAATAAGAAGATAATGTGATTTGAGAACTCCTATGAACATATTCTCACATCCCCAGGGTGACCAATACCACTGAAGATCCATGGGTGATCTTGTAGATTTCCAGAAAGAAAGCAATCTCACTGAAAATTGTTTTTAAATACATCTCACACTTTGAAAGCAACTGTTTTGAATACAAACTTTTGTCATGAAAATTAGAGTAGACAAGAAGAGTAGAGTTTTAAATTGGCATAATAAATTCTCATG